GGAGTATTAGGTGACGAATAGGATTTTAGTAGTTTAAGAAGGTGATCTATTTGCTCTTTACTGAATGGAGATGATTCAGCCTCGTTTGCTTAGGTATATTCTGTTCACCAGGTTTGTTCGCCCTGCCATTGGATGGTCTCCCGTGCAGTTTGTAGCAATTCTCTCTGGTATGGCGAGGTTTCCCATAGTAATCATAGCGCAGGTTATTCTTGTCTCCAACCCGCTGATTTTGGGATGACCTTCGACTGACTTGGGCCTCGGAAATAATCAGAGCTGACCCTTCCATAGGTCCGGTTGTACCTGCAGCCTTCTTTCCAAGCATCACTTGTCTCCGGCTTTCTTCTCTACGTACTTCTGCAAATACCTCACCGATTGGGGGCAGAAGGTTTCTTCCAATAATTCGGCCACGAACCTCATCGAATTCAACGTTTAAACCTGCAAGAAACTTGAAGACTCGGCTAACATTCACCATCTTCTTGTAATAAGTACAGTCATCGGGTGACTTCCACTCGTAATCATTGAATAAGTCCAGGTCCTGCCAAATTCTCTTAAAGAGAATTAAAATACTTAGTCACAAAGTTCTCACCTTGGCGAATATTTCCGAGTTGTAGAGTTAACTCGTACACTTGGGATTGATTCCCTAAATCAGAGTACATTTGTGAGACATTGTCCCATAATTCCTTGGCTGTAGAATAGCAGAGATAATTTGCCCCTATCTCTTTAGTCATGGAGTTAACCAACCATGTCATCACCATGGAATTTTCAACATCCCAAACAGCATAGGCTAGATCCTTCACATCAGGCTTCTTCGTGTCTCCTGTGATATAGCGAATTTTCCCTCCCTCTGAGATACATGCGAACAGATTGTGACCACTGGAGAAAGTTGTCACCATTTAGTCGGATTGTAGTGATCTGAATAGGGTGATTTTCAGGCAGATTCCGGACAATCTGGGGCTCAGGCTGATAAGGCTGAGGAGGCTGAGAACTGGACGTGACTTCGGACATTTTTTAGGGACAGAAACGCAGAAACAAACCCTAGGTCTTTTCTGCTCTGATACCATAAAGAAGAGACAGAAAGATAATAAGAATGGGATGATTTTTTGTTTCTGTACATCAAAATTTATAGCTCTCTCTAGGATACAAACTATGTAACAAATCTCCCTAAATAAAGGAAAAAATAAAACTGATTTCTAAAAATATTTGTACAGCTCACAAATCTCTCAACTACCTAAAATAGCACATAATATAATACATAATTANAAACTGATTTCTAAAAATATTTGTACAGCTCACAAATCTCTCAACTACCTAAAATAGCACATAATATAATACATAATTACCGAAATCTTCCAACAGGAATAATATGCAATTATTTTGAAAAACATATAATACACGAGTAATACTGATTTTCAGAAAGCATGGAATATCTTATTTTTAATGTCTTTATATATACGGATATGTTTATAGATATATTTATACTTTCATATTTATATTCATATGCATACATATTAAATGTTATAGATACATTTGTGGATAAAATGTCATATCTCTAAATTCATACTTTTTAACAAAAATGTGTTACTAATCTTTTTACCATATCACAAACTAACTAAACATATGAACTATTCTTTTATTTGAACCACTATAATGTAACTTGAACCCTATAATACTTGTGTTGCATACATATTTACTAAGGACTAGAAGGTCCATTGGGATTGAAGTACAACATTTGATTCATATTCGTTCATATCTGTTTTTAGCTATGAAGAAATAATAAACATGAATATGAAAGGTACACAGTTCTTCCACATCATCCTGTTGTATTTAGGGCTGCAAGTTGGGTTGCCCCAACTTGAAGAACTTCAACTACATCAGGTTTGGGCCTATCAAAAATGACAAAATTCCCAACCCAACCCAAGTTGCATACTTAGTTGTTATTGTGATATCATAAAGTATTGGTATGATACAAGATACCTCTTCCTCATCTGTATGCTAATAATCATGCTCAATTTGTTTCTCAATGGTATCTTAGTTGTGAATGTACCCTAGTTGCATCATGGGACCACAATAACTTCCCACATGTTTCATTTTTTCAGGATCAAAACCTACCATATAGGTCCCACTTAGGCCTATAGCAAAAATAGTATGGTTCAAATGACTTTTGATCATCTGATTTTATGGAATTTGTATGAGATCGAATACTTGAACTTTTCCTTATTGACAACAACCAAAAATATTATAAATGTGCTTAAAAATGAATTACAAGAAATTTGCCAAGCACCAAAGCTACCTTCCAAATCAGTAACCAAGGAATCAATGAGATCAGTAGCAGCAATGATCTCAACCCTCTCCTGGAATTGAGCTTGAGTTTCCACAGAAGTCCATGATCCAAAGCATAGAGGCAATAGGAAACAAGAGACATTTTATTTTTTCTAAGGAAAATAGTTAAGAAAAATAAGTCTTTCAATAGATAATTATCCCACCAAGAATCTAACCAGAATTTGGTCTTATCTCTAGAGAGACTTGATACCTAATGCGCTAGGTAAAGGCTTAGTGATGGCAAACATAGCTATCCAGGGTGAAGCATAAGTCCAGTAAACATGCTTGCATATGGAATTCTGTTTTGCCATTCCACTTCAGCGCCATATCCATTGTCAAATTATGAGCACTTAAATCATTTCATACTACTTCAACCTATGTCCTTTTTTCCCTACCCCTAGCTTTTCTAACCCCTTCAACTTGTAATAGATTGCTTCATATCAGTGCTGTAGATGGTCTTCTCTGCACAAGACCAAACCATCTTAGTTTACTTGCTCTCATTTTATCACCTATTGGAGATACTTCTAGGTTCCTTTAAATTCATTTATGAGCCTGTCTGGTGCAGGAGCTGAAGAGTCAAAATTGGAATTTTATGAAATTTTGTATTTTTGGACAGTACGGGTATTTCTGTCATTTTGCAATTTTCTGTGGGGTGGTCCAATGATAGGGTTTAATTTGTCTAGTTATAGTTTGTTTATGTTTAAAATTTCAGAGTCATTGCATAAGTAGGATTAGAGTTATTGAGTCTTCTTTGAATTGAAATAGGATACGACAGATTTGAGTTCTACTAGGATTTTGAGTCTAACAGTGACTCCTAGGATTATTATGACTTTAGAGTCTATAAATATGTATGGACATTTTACACAAAGGCAATGAAGCTTATGAGTTTTCTTCAGCTTATGCTAGCTATGGTGAGTGATTCCCATGCCCTAGAGTGATTTTCTAGGCACCCTGTGAGTGATTCCAGGTATTTTCTCTCTTCTTTCTCTCCCTATTTTCTCTCTTATTCCTTCAAGAAGCCATTACAGCCAACAACAGCCATAACATTCTGATCAAAGAAGACCATTCAAAGGACTAGAACTGAGTTGGTCCTACATCACTGTCCTTCCTAGTTTTTCCAATCATCCATGTCAACATTCACATTTCTACCAATCTCAATTTTTGGGCATGTTGGTTTTTGACTGCCAAAGCTATGCAGAATTCTCTTAATCACAGCATGCCACAAATTATCAAGCTCCAAAGGGAAACACTACAAGTATTTACCTAGATGAGAAAGATTCCTAAGGAAATGCCAACCCATACCTAAACCTCTTTAACATTTACACTTACACACCATTTCCCAATATTGTAACTTCTTTCTTATTCTTTTCATCACTGTTTAAATATGTAATCAATCATGATCCAAGCTGATTTTTGTTTAAATTAATCTCCTTGTGGGCACATGGAGGACTATACGGTTTTAATGAGTCCTCTAGCCCTGTTTTTCTTATGAAGGGAATATGTTTCAGTTTGAATAAATTAAAAAAATAGTCTATTTTTGGAAATTAGTTTGTTTTAAAGTGCAAATAAATGTGGACAAGTCATAAATTAGTTGATACAAATAAAAGTACTGGTATAGTTACTAAACAATCATTAAGTGAAGTAACCAATGATGAAATTAATATCAACAATTAAAAGCGAAACCTCTATATCTACATTTTGTTCATACATGCATTATAGCTCCTAAATTTGTAGATGGTTAAAGTGTATTTTTTCTTTTACATTTTCTTATTATTTTTAATATTTCAAATACTAGAACTAGTATCCCCATGTATCTGTAAAATTTACTTTCATTTCTTAAGTTTATATCTCCAACAATTGATGCATGATTTCCATGTTTAAAAACAATATAACTCTTAAAATTGATTTATTGATAGACATACTGATATTGATATCTCACTCCTTAACTTCAAGGAATCCAAATTCTGAATTTGTTAGGAAAGCACGTAATATCTGTATCCACAGGTTTCCCCTAGGAAAGACAAGGGGCTGGGATGAAGAAGCCCTTTAAAACTTCCAATTTCTGGTCCATCCTGAAAGCTCACAACTTAAGATTCTCAAGGCCACTGAAACTTTTCTATTGGAGAGAAATGGTAACTAATATTCTATCATTATAGGCAAAAAGTGTACATCAGAGGATGCATGACCATATATAAAAGATCAGAAATAACTCCTCATTAAAAAAATTACAAGGGTAAGAAGATATGGCGTATAAAGAGTGTCCTTTCAATGGTTGACTTGAGTTGGAACCCACCTAGTCTGACATAGATAAGCGAAATGATCTCTTTAATGTCATTAAGATAATATGCCAGTCTCCGTGGTCTCTTTCTCAGGTAATACTCCAAATAATAGTGTTGGCAGAATAATCCTCAATAATCCAAGGGATGAACTGCCTGTATTTAGCAACCCTTACCCCATGAGAAGAGCCACTTCTTCAGCTTTGGCAGAATTGGCATCCCCAGTCAGACCATCAAAGACCCACATAATACTGCAATAAAAAAAGGGGGGGGGATGCATCCCCAGTAAATTTCTTCTAAGAAATCCTTAGCAGTCAATACCCATTAGTTTAGAAAATGAAGAGCATAAGTTTAAAAGGGAATAGAATCTTCCCCTTAGAGTATCAAAGGACTCATGCTTGTTTTCAAAAATGCACCTGTTTTCTTCAAACTGCCCATATATCTAACTGCATGGATAGCTGCTTTCCAGTAAATTTTGCCTTCAATTTAACTGAAACACAATTAAAGTTTTTTTATGTAATGATCTCTGACCTAGGCTTTATTGCCTTATTCCAAGGACATGATGACAGTCCATGTTATGAAGATACGGTGATGCTTACTTGTTGACAAAGAGATGGAAAGGTGTGTTTAATATTCTTATGCTGTTTGATCTGAAAGCTTGTTGGTGAAAGGAATGCTCCAAGGGCCAAGTCTATATGAAGTTCTTCAATAATTCCATAGTTAGGTGTACAACTTGGGTAGGCTCAGGTTGAGCATTTGTTAAAATTTGAAGAGTCCTGGATTCAGTGTAATTTCTTCAAATTGGGCATGCAACTTGGATTCCTGGTCATGGTTAGAAAATAGGCAGAGAACTCTCTGCTTGATGCTGAATTTTGGGAACTTAATGATTCCAAGAGCCAAGGTGTTTGCTTGGACAGTAGCTTTGGAGAGAGGTTTTACCTTTGATAATCAATGTGTGCATGTGTGGGGAAGCTAATGAGAGTGTCAGAAAGATTTAATGTGAGAAATGACCATGAGATATCACATGGATGGCCATTTGGGTGGCTCTCATGTGAAGATTTTTGGACTGTGACCCTTTTTGTGAAGGGCATGGAAGAAAAGAAATTGAAGGGCCTTTGACATGATTGGAAGAAACACTTTTAGGCATCTATGGCTGACATGGGATTTTCCTTTTTATTTTGGGATTCTTGATTGGACTGTCATTCTACCTAATTTTAAGGGAGTGGACATAATTTTCTTGGGGATATAGTGGAACTAGTTAGTACTGTATATACAAAGTTTATCTTATTGTCCCAACACCTCTTATTGATATGTCCTTTCTTCTTTGATAAATATTCTGTTATGCATCAAAAGAAAATCATTCAGCTTTCATTTTTGAAACGTTTCAAGTTCTTCCACAGTTTTGTAGACCTCTCAGTAGAAACATGCTGGAGCAAACAGAAGCTTCCTAAAACTGTCCACTCCAATCAACTTAGGGGCTATTTGATAATGGCTTAAGTGGCTGATGACTTGTTAGCTTGTTTGATAGTGGACTAGAAAAAAAAGCAATAAGTCACTCGGTCACTCAGTTCAGTTTCTCAAACAGCCTCTTAAGAGACCCAACATTCAGATCCAGCATTAAAGATGTAATTTCTGAAACATGTACAGAACACCCAAGAAAGGATAGCACAACTTCCCAATATCTTCACAGAAACATTTTTCTTCTGGCTTAGTTAAATGTTTTGAAATCACTCCAAGAAACATAAACTACCTAAAATAACAAAATGCCTCAAAAAAATGAGTATATTCCAGTTAGCAAAGAAACCATATTTCATTGAAAGTTAATGGAAAACAATAACCACTTGGTGAAGTCTTATTGGAAAAAAAAACAAGTATCTAATTTCCTTTTTGGTAATGAAACAAGAATCCAATATAGGTGCATAACAAGTAGCATATAAAACTCAAAGAAATAACTTAAATTTTCAAGTTTTCTCAGATCCATACCTAAGATTAGAGCTGGGACTTTCATTTACAGCAAACAGCCACATGGACATGTAATCCAGATATGGTCAGGACACAGCATAGATATGGAATTTACACTGGATATTGAAGCAATATGGAACTCATCTTGTATTGCTCTAATGTAATTCACAACATGTCAATGCAAAACATCATTGTGCCCTTTCTGTTGCTTGTCAACTAAAAACAGAATCTGTGGGCACTTATATCATCATTCTCTCCATCCTCTTCATCATCACTGTCATCATCATATTCGCCAACATCATTCTCACTCTCATAATGTACACCATTATCATCGCTCAAATATGCACCATCATCTCTGGCCATCTGACCATAATTTTTATTAGTAGTGGTGTATGAGTTCCAAGCAGGAGGAAAGGTCTTTTGCAAGGCTTCTGTAAGCTCGCCACCTGTCCTCTCAATCTTGCGTAAACATTTTGACCAATGAACCGCAGTCCCCATATCAACAGTCAACCCTAGTTCTACCATTTCTTTACAAACAGACAGAATTCCTGAGTAAATGTATTCTTCAGCAACAGTAGCCCTTGAAAGTAATGATGTCATCAGACAATGGTAAACAGCTTTGTCAGGCTTCAAACCGGCCGACTTCATATCTTCAAAGCATCTCAAAGCCTTCTCTGGGAGGGAGGCACGGGCCCATCCATGTATCAGTGTAGTATATGTTTTCACATTAGGCTGCACTCCAATAACTTCCATTTCCTCAACTGTCTTAGTTGCTCTCTGCACACAGAATTCTTTCCTTGGAAGTTGAACTGTACAAATATATTTTCTGATAAAATATAACACATGAATAGTTTGACTAATCACCTAGGGACATACCTGCATGTCTCCAGCCTTGCAGCATGCATTTATGAAAGAGGTGTAGGTGTGGATATCAGGAAGAACCCTTTCTTGCCTCATTTGTTGCATCAGATCAGCAGCCTCCCATACATCACCCCTTCGAGCCCACCTACATAACAGAAATACTATACATGGATAAATATGGGAGAACAACTAATCTAAGAAAGCTAACTTTGAGTACAGAGACACATATAGGAGGTATGTAATAAACAAAGAGATGCAGATGCAGAAGCTGGGGTAGAAGGGGAAAGGGGATAGACAATACAGTTAAAGTTTCAAGTGAAATGCAATTGGAAAAAAAATCAAGTGAAAGGTAGGGGAGGTGGTTAGCTGAGGCTAAAGCCTTGTCCCAACTGTATGGGGTTGGCTACATGAATCCTGTTTTGCCATTCCATTCTGTTCAGTGCCATGAGAAAGGGTGGTTACTTTCATAGGGATGAGAGTGATTGCAACTGAACCAGATGAATGAAAGAAGCTGGTTTCTGGGTGTTACTTTTGTAAGAAGGTTGTTCTTGGCTAGTTGTTTAAAGGAGCTTCATGCTTGGCATTTTAGTTTAAAAGAGGGGTTTTATGCTTCATATGGATTTGCAAGGGAAGGTACTACCATATAGGGAAGGGATGGATGTAATTTTTTTTCTTTTTTCGCTTTAGCTCTTTTGGTGATTCACTATAACCTGGTTTTGTATCTTCATTTTTCATTAATAAATTTTCCTTTAATTATAAAAGGAAATTATTCTATACAATGTAAAGTTATCCTACCCATCAATTAATATGTTGTAGACAAAGGTGTTTCTTGGAATTTTTTGAGCACTCATTTCCCTTGTTACTGCTAAAGCACTTTGCATCCTGCCTGACTTGCAACATGCCTTGAGTAGTGCCTGGTATGAAAAAACATCAAGCTCTAGCCCTTCCTCTTTTATTTTGGTGAAATACTCAAAGGCTTTTCCAGTATCTCCCTGAGAAGCATAACCATGCATGATGGTTGTATAGGTATGCTCATTAGGATTTACACCAGCATGCAACATCTCATCAACTACTTCAAGAGCCTTTTCCATCTGCAATAAATAAGATCATAATAATGTCAACAAGAAAACAAAAGGAGAGACAAATTGCAATAGCTCTGTTAATTTCTTGAATATGAATAGTGTCTATGGTGCATGCTGTTTGTATGCTCATTGTTCTAACTTCTAAAATGTCCAATTGATGGTGGCCACCCTTGATTGAACAATCAAAGAAGTCACTGAAAATAGACCAAAAAGGAAACCTAAGGATAGGAATTAACATCTGCTTGTTTTTGTTGCTTCATGAGCAAACAAGAGATTATGCATTCATTGGAATGTCAACATCCCTGGGAAGCATAACCATGGATGATGATTGTATAGGTATGCCCATTAGAATTTACACCAGCATGAACATCTCATCAACTACTTCAAGGGCCTTCTCCATCTACAATAAATAAGAACAAAATAACAACAACAAGAAAACAAAAGGAGACATAAGATCCCCTAGCTTTATTAACTTCTTGAATATGACTAGAGAAAAGGAATTGGTGATGTTTTCAGAAATCATTTTGGAAATATCTTGATAGTGTTTTCAAGATGTAATGGAAATGCAAATTCCATAGTTGTTGAACTACAGGCAGTGATACAAAGGACTGAAACTAGCTTTACAATCATAATATCAGGACAGGCGGTGGAAGAAGACTTGAAAACAATTTTTAGCTGGCTGAGGGAAGAAATGGAAGGACCATGCAGACTTAGACATAGAATAAGGGAATCCAGATCACTGTGTATAACATTACAGGCAGAAAAACATTGGGTGCCTAGATGTGCAAAGTCGATGTCTGATTCTTGGTCATACATACATACATACATATGTATGTGGTGCTGAAAGGGACCCTTGACATAGCAGCTTATATTGTAATTTTATTCATCTTTCTTCTATTTCTACTCTCCTTGAAGTACACCTTGTACATTTTTGTTGATATGGAAAAAAGTTTCTTTTATCGATACATGCATACATGTTGTTTGTATGCTCATTGTTCTAATGTCCAATCAATAGAGGTCAATACTTGATTGAACAGTCAAATAAGTCACTGAAAATGGACCAAGAAGGAAACTTATGGTAAGGAGTTAATATCTGCTTGTTATTGTTGCTTTATAAGCAGGCAGGAGACTATGCATTGATTGGAAAGTCAATGTCCATGAGCATTTTCACATAGCTAGAAGTATTTCATGTACATTTTAGTAAAATTGCCCAGGCTTAACACCTTTATCTCAAGTAAAATTACCTGTCTCTTTTCAACAAGGCCAAGAACTAGAGCATTGAAATTGTGCACAGTTGGAATGCATCCACATCGCCTCATCATATTGAAAACCTGTAGGGCTCTTCTCATCTCTCCAGCTTTTGCAAAACCATGTATGATTGGCATAAATGTCCGGGAAGTAGGCCTATGCTTCTCTTTCTGCATTTCTTCGACAATACGAATGGCTCGATCCATGTTACCCATCCCACAGAATGCTCTAATAATGTTATTGTAGAGCACCACATCAGGCTTTAATCCTGTTTTCACCACATCCTCAAAAATCGCAAATGCATTTGCCCAATCATTTAGTTTCAAAAACCCATTAACCAACATGGAATAGGTCTTCATATTATGTTTTATGCCACATGATTCCATCAATTTCCCAATCTCCAAGGCTTTGGATACTTTTCCAATCTGAAAAAGTGTATGTACATGGAGTCACATGAGTATTTAAATATCAACATAAAAAAAACTACATGTATCAAGACAAATGATAGAACAAGAGCATGTAAGGACTAAACAGTTAGAAAAGGCATGCACTTGTAGCATACTTGATGAGAATGATAATGATAATCATAATCATAATAATAATAAATGCTGTGTAACTTTATAAAGCCCTCCAAATAGTAGCTTAGTGTAGTACAAGAAAGAAAGAGAAAATCCTATAGAGGGTTTCCCAAAAAAAACTTTAAAGCTTTTCTGCCAAAACTAGAAAAAAGAATCTTTTTTATAGGAAACTAGAAAAGAAATCTTCTTAATTGAATTGAGTTCCTTTCAAAGAACAAGTTGTCTGACCAATTGGTAACTTTTATGTTGACTACTTTATCCCCTACCAAGTAAATTTTTAAGATAAGCATGACCAAATATGACAATCCGTCCTTATCAATAATAAAACCACATGACCATAAAACAAATTAAGTACATTACAGCAGAAGTCCGAGCTTCTTTAGGCCTATATTGGTGGATCTTGAAGGCTTTGGTTACATTTCTATATGTTTCATAGCATGCTTACAGAAGTGATGAGTCCCTTAGGAAGATCTACAAGTTCCCATGTGCCATTTTTATGAAGGGCATTAATTCCTTTCTTCATAGCATCTGTCCATTCGGGTACTGAAAGAGCTTCTGCCACATTCTTAGGGATTGGGACACTATCAATGGAAGTAAGAAATGCACGAAAAGAGGGTGAAATGTTCTCATAGGAAACAAAGTGGGAAATGGGGTGTTTAGTGGTGCACAATCTAACACCTTTCCTATGAGCAATAGAAAGGTCAAGGTCATTAGCAATAGAGGTATCAATTGTAATGGGGTCAGGGACATCATTGGGAACCAAGGTACCTGAGTGAGTATGATCCGCCCCCGAGGAGTTTGATGGCACTGGAGGTACAACTTCTAGATTCTCCACAGCTCTTGAATTTGGTTGGCCTTTGCGACGACGGAAGAAGACACGAAAAGGCGGAGGATCAGGAAGAGGAGGGAGCTGAACCAGTTTCTCCTCATTCCTACACTCCTCATTCCTACACTCCCCCTGAGGAGAAACAGGGAAAAAAAGGCTCATTCTCAAAGAAAGAGACATCCATGGAAACATAGAATTTCTGAGAAACAAGACCAAAACAACGGTATCCCTTCTGAGTGAAGGAGTACCCCAGGAATATGCAAGGAATAGCACAAGAATCCAATTTCCCATGAGTGGGAGACAGATTTTGGACAAAGCACCGACAACCAAATACGCGAGGAGGAATGAGAAGAAGGGGGGCCTTAGGGAAGAGAAGCTGATGTAGGGCTTTGCACTCTAACCAACGAGAGGGCATACGATCAATGAGGTAGGTAGAACAAAGAATAGCCCCAAGCCAAAAACGTTTGGGGACATTCATATGGAGTAATAAACCCCAGGCCACTTCAAGGAGATGGCGGTTCTTTCGTTCAGCAACACCACTTTGTTGTGGTGTTCGGGTACAAGAGCTACGGTGAAGTGAACCACGCGAAGCAAAGAATTCCGTGAGATCACTATGAAAATACTCTTTCACATTATCTGACTGAAAAATTTGGATTTCAGTTTGAAATTGAGTGAAGACCATCCGCTGAAAATCTTGGATAATTTTTGGTACTTCCTCCCTAGTTCGCATGGGATATACCCAAGTATATCTAGAATAATCATCTATGATGGTGATAAAATACTTGTAACCACTCTCAGATGGTAAAGTAACAGGGCCCCACACATTAGAATGAACAATGTGAAAAGGAAATTTAGATTTACTATTTTTTGGAAGAAAATGAATTCTACAATGTTTACTCAATTGACACGTTTGACAAGAGAAATCTGAAACGGACACTGACTTAAACAGATCTGGAAACACCACTTTCAATGACTTAAAAGATAAATGACCAAGGCGACAATGCCATAAATAAACTTGACTCTTACAGGACTGACTCTTAGACTCTATAACATGAAGACCAGCCTTATTCTCCAGCATGTAAAGTCCATCAACCATACGTCTTCTACCAATCGTCCTCCCCGAGGCCAGATCCTGGATCACACAGTAAGAAGGGAAAAAGGTAACTAAGCAGTTTAAGGAATTAGTAACACTACTAACAGAGAACAAATTAATGGGAAATTTTGGAACATGTAAAACATCAGAGAGGGTAAGGCCAAGGGGAAGAGAGACAGTTCCTTGACCAGCTATGGAAGCATATGATCCATCAGCTAGTCTCACCTTGTCTCTTCCAGAAAGAAGGTGATAGGTTTGAAAGTAAGAGGACATACCCGTCATGTGTTTTGACGGTCCAAAATCAATGATCCATGGAGAGTCAAGGGTATGAGAAGCAACATGGAAAATTGTGGCAGAGTTACCTGATGTAGACGCAAATGAGGTTGAGGGAGGAGCATCCATCTGACGAGTTGCTCTACCATAGAGCTCTAAATGGTCACGGAAGGAATTCATAATATCCTCCCTTGGGTCGGATCCAGATAAATGTGTCTGAGTCACAGTATGGATGGGGGGCTGATTCTCTCGAGTAGCCATGTTGGCCATAGTGTGTTTCTTTGTACCTTGCTGTCCTGACCTTTTATTCACATCTGAACTTTGCTTCTTATTCAGATCTTGAGCCCATTTCGGCTTTCCATGAAGATCCCAGCATGTATCTCGGGTGTGTCAGGGCTTTTGGCAATGAGTACACCACAATTTATCTTTGTCATCTATTTTTTTTCTGAAGATCTCCTTTCTTGGAAGAATTTCCTCCACTAGTAGTAACACTCCCTTTCGCGGCCAACACAACTGCATCTCCACCAGAACTGTTCATCAAATTCCTTCTGCTTTCTTCAAATTGTACAAGAGCATAAACTTCTTAGACTGATGGAAGATCCTTAGAACCGAGGAACTGGACCCTAATAGACTCATATGTAGGGTTCAAACCATGTAAGAAAGCAAACACTCTCTGCTGGGAGACGAGTTTTTTGTACAGTTTTGCATCTTCATCACACTTCCATTCCCCACTCTGATAATGATCCAACTCCTTCAAGACAGAAGTCAAGTCAGAGTAATATACAGATAGACACCTCTCCCCCTGTTTACAAGTAGACGATTCTGCCTGTAGTTGGTAGATTTTTGCATAGTGTCGCAGTTCTGAATATGTTGATTTTTCTTGTTCCCAGATCTCATTTGCCGTTTCAACCCACATGAAATTCCTCCTTATTTGAGGTTGCATAGAGATTAAAAGCCAAGACATAACCATGCTGTTTTCCTGATTCCATCTATCATATTCAGCACTCCCAGAATGTGGTTCTTTTATTCTCCCATTAATATAACCTATCTTCCCCATTGCAATGATGTATAGCTTGATCCCTCTTGACCACTCTAAATAATTTAAACCATCAAGAGGGACAACAGCCATGGGAAAGGATAGGTCCACACCCCCACTCATTCCATTCAGCATTGAGGAAACTCCGGATGTAGCAGAATCTTCACCACTCATGATTTCAGATTCAAAAGCAACACCCAAAAGAGGAACACAGCCTTAAAAAGTTGTTACAGAAGGTACCAGCCACTTCCAGACCTTCAGTCCACCAAAAAGCTGCTGTTGCAGCACATAAACAAGGTCCTTACGACCTACGGTTTCACAGGGATCAAACAACCCCACAAAAAAAAAGGAAAAGAAAGAGGTGCAGCTCACCTCACATCCAATTGGCAGACCTAGAACAGGTCCAGCACAGGCACACGGCCAGAAAGGAGAAGAGAGTAAACAAAAGGTACCTCAGTCGAACATCAGGACAGCCGAACAGCAGATGAGAACAAAGTAAAAGAAGGTTACTTCAGTCGAACATCAGGGCAGCCGAACAGCAGATGATAACTTCTGAAAGTCTGTCACCCTCGAAACAAAGTCTTCTACATGCTGGAAAAGGAAAAGACAGACTGCTCGACTTCACCTTTCAGATCTGGACGTCCTGCTCTGATACCATGTTGTACAGGAAGAAGAGAGAAAGGGAGAGAGGAGAGGAGAGACGAGAGGACTGAGAGCCCAAAAAGATAAACTGCAGGCGGCGCAGTATGTTATATTTATACTAGGGCGACAACAACTAAACATAAAGAAAAGGAAAAGTACAATAGTACCCCTGCGGTACTATACATATATAAAATAACATTTGTTAACAATAACCATCCTCCCTTCCCAGTCGTTCTTTCCTCCTTCCCATAGGATCTTCAGTATTGTTACAGAAGTAGATATGACACACTCTTCTTCTTCACTTTCATTCTCCCTCCCTCTTCAACTCTCTTCCCTTTATCTATGTTTATTCGAGATTCTTCTCCAGGATGTTTGGTATTCCATTTTCTCTTACCTCTTCGTATTTCAACTGGAAATATTCAATGACGTTAGCCACTTTCATCCATTTAGCCTACTCTCTGGTAGGCAAATCATGAAGTCTATTTCCTTGGCCAAAAAATTCTGATAAGGTAATATACCAACGCCTGCTGTTTCTTCTACACTCAAGCAGGAACTGCTTTTCTCCTCTATCTATCTTGTTCCTCTAGTTCTCTTTCTTCACTGAGAAGATCAAACCATCTATGAATCCTTTGAACCATTTCAGAGCCACCAGATCCAAAATAACTGCTGCTTGTTTATTCTCTCTAATTTTCAGGTTTGTTTCTCCTTTAAACTTAGAAGCCTCCAAAAGAAACCTTTTCTTCTCCATCTTGTCACTGGAAAGAAGTGCCACTAGCACACACATTAAATTAAACAACAGTTGCACTTTTTCTTTTTCTCTGAGTTTCCATCTTTAACTTTTATCATACAAAGTTATAACCTCCTTTAGTTGCTATGAAATTAATATATTTAAGATATTTTTATCGTTTAGATATGATGATTTGCCATGTATTAAGAGGAAATTTAATGTTCTTAATAAAAAATTGCTGTTTTTTCAATTAAATTCATGCTGAATGGTATATAAAACTAGGGAACTAACCAAGAGTAGGTTCTTTATTTTATAAAATTCTTATTGCCTAGGCTGACCTAGTTGACAACCAAATGTCACCCTGATTTTAGGTTGAACATGGGGGCTGCGGCCTTTGGCTCCAATTAAATCATCAAATAAAGAGATTAGAAGGAATCCACCAGAATGATTTAAACGGAGTTGCCCAGAGAATGAACTCCGAGAAAGTAGAGTAGAAATTCATATAATAAGTAGTAAAAATGAACAAACATGTTCAATAAAAAAAGATTTATTCTTCTTTCTAGATTCTTTTTTTTTCTTACAATGCAATCTGGATTCTCGGATTTTTCAAACAAAACATCAATATGAGTTTTAGTTCAGATTGGAATTTTGATTCAATTGAGAAGTAGGCCTATTTATTTCTGGTTCTAGGACCAACAGTTCTAGAGGTCGACTTGGTTATTTCAAATTGTTTCTCATTATTAAGAAAAGGTAACGAAGAAAAAATACAAGGTTGTTTTATAGCAATAGTAATTAATCAAAGGGCTATGCATTTGACAGCACTTGCCATAATACAAATAGAAACAACAGAAGTTTAACTAATATATCATAAGATGATCAAAGTCTTCACAATTGAATTGAAAAAGAAAATTCCTCTTACCTTTGTATAAAGATTGATAAGGCAACCAAGGCTTATTACTGAAGGCCTGAAACCACATTCCTGCAGCAATGTTTATAGAAAAGATCAGAGCAAATGACTAAAGAATGAAAAATAAAATAACATCTATAATATTAATCAATTATCTTGAGGAATCATTTAAATTAGCTGGCCTTCTTCTGACATCATATAATACAAGGCTTTCTAAGTTAAAGTGTACAGCACTTTACAGCTATGTTACACAGACATGTCAAGGACATGGTAGTAGGCAAAGCGTCACCACATCAGATCATCAGATCATACAACCTAAAAATTCAAGTCTTTGATGACACAATGTGCAGCCATTTGAAGTGCCCCTGCAACATAGCTTACAGGGCAACAATAACAATAGTAGGTTATATTTGCTACCAAAGCAGCAAACATGGAAGCACTAGTTCCAAAGAACAGCATGGAGAATCCATAGTATATTCCCTTTGAAAACAAAGTCATCTTTGAGAAGGATTAGGATAGCATTTAGGGGCATACATTTCTTGTATGTTTTTATTTTTTTCAGGTGGCAATTTTAGCATCCTTTCTTTTCCTTTGTTAAATATTTTGATAAAATCCCGCTTGTTACAGACAATAACAATAATTATGATAATAATTTCTAAAGTACATTCTGCAATATTCTCTTTTCAGACAACATGATCAAAAAATCCAAACATACTAAAAACAGACTCATCGTCATTTTTCTTTCTCTCTCTTTCTTTCTCTTCTAATCAGTAAAATGAAGAGAAGACCCTCTCATACAATCTCTGTATGTGCCAGTGTTTGGTCCAAACCTATTAATTCATGTGGAATCTTGTTAATATTTGACAAGAAGGTTTAAACTTCATAATCATGTTTCAATTGGTTCCAATTTTGAAATGCATACCAGGCTTCATATACATGCATTATGTCCCCAAATGGTTCTGATGTTGTTGATATAATGACATTACGATGATGAAACTGTGATGACAACAACATGATGACCAAGAATAATATGATGATGCTGATAGTTGTGACTTGCAGGTTTTACTGTCATATATATAGACAGGTAGGAGCCAATATTTCCTAGTGAGATTGGTAGCATGGGGGGGGGGGGAGACTTACCAATGAAGGGATGAATCATGTGGAAACGACAATAGCAGAAACTAGAGCAAAGTGACAGCATCCTGGCAGGATGGCTGTTACCATCCTCTTTTAACCAATCCCCTCTCATATTATTTGTATACATGAATATAATCTAATATCTTGATATAAGAGTCCATATTTCACTACTTAACGGTCTCACCCATTCAACCTGAATAGTCAAACTGATGACCTGTTACTAGAAAGAAAACCAAGCCAGTCTCCAGTTTTTAAAATATTGCAACCGACAATTCTCACATAGTAAACTTGACACTTCAACTAATTGAAACAACTTAGGAAACAAATACCCTTTTTATTAATAACAAATCAAATTTTATCTTATAGTAGGAAATGGGTATACATTCAGATATACATAGCAATGCAGAAAAAAAAAAAAAAAAAACATCAAGAAAGTACATAGCCCACACCTGCTCCTGCTCCCTGAGAGCCCCACCCCCAAAGTACAAAGTACAAGAGATCAACCCTGTAGACACGAGAAAAGTAGAGGGATGCTCACTCTGTAAGCCCCAAACTTCTTAGAAACAAAATCGCCCAGCTAGGAAGACCCAATGAGTCTATAAATACCTCAACACCATCTTCATAATTGCTCAGGAATGTTCTAAAAAAATTTGCAAAAAAATATCTAGCTTTCCTGTCTTCTGGATAAATCTCCAAGAGCAGGAACAACCATTCAAGTCTTTTTCTTTCTTTTCTTTGTTTTTTTTGAATGGCAACAACCATCCAAGTCTTCATACAAAAGCCTTCCTAAAACCCGCCAACTGTGTATATTGATCATCCCTTTGAGATCTCATTGATCATATAGCTAAATTGGCTTCACCCTGGAGTCAATTACTCTGATGCCAATTTGATTAATTATTTGTAGATTTTTTGGTCTGATAAAACTGATTTAGATCTATCACAGTAGAAAGACGGAAAGAAATATAGAAAAGAAGACAAGAAAATAGGTTGAAGAGAAGAACTTTAAGGTGTGATCCACATTCCCATTAGTTATACCAACTTACAGTAGCAACAACAGACTAGTATATCCCTGGTTGCATATCCTCCATAACCAAGACATAAACAAAAATATAATAAAATAGAATACACAACCCCCCCACCCCTAAAAGAGTCCTACTTAAACCTGAATACTGATGAAACCAGAAAATATACACACTGTTTAACAATTATGTAATAATCTATCTTGCTGAGTAGAATAAGAAGCATTTTTTTTTTATAAATGAATAAGAAGCACGTTTTCATCCATGAAATAATAGAAAAGTGAGAGGAAGAAGAGAAGGAAAGGAAAAGAAGAGAGGATGGTTTGGGAGGCAAAAAGATAGGCTGGCGGCACCCCTTCTATTTATATTAGGGTGATAAAAAAAATAAGACAGAGTTACAATATTACCCCTGGTGGCACACTCTAATAAAAGAACAAATAAAAACAAATAAGAAAGTATGCTGACAGCAACTGAACTGCTACATTCACAAAGAAAGGCACAAAACAGCAACTGAGCTGCTCAACAAAGGTCAACCGAACTGCCAAAACTAAGAAACCATAGCTGTACAGTAAATTGTAATTGTTTCGAGTCCACATACACTAGGACCTAATCACTCCCAGTCACATACACCACGTGGCAAGGATAATTAGCCCACATATACCCTACAAAGGAGTCACACAACTCCTTACCCATACAAGTAAGAAAGTACACACCCAATGAGAAAACTTCACTGCATCAAACTGTCACCACTTAATCAACTTAGTGTTACAACCAAGAGAGAACAGAAGAGGAGAAATAAACTGATCTGATCAGGCCAATTAGAGATCCTTCACTCCACAGTCCAAAAACAAAGAATTCTGGGCAAGAACGATCTGAATGCTCCTAGAGCACAACAACCAGCTCTGATACCATGTTTTCATCCAAAAAATAATAGAAAAGTGACAGGAAGAAGAGGAGAAGAGAGAAAGGTTTGGGTGATAAAAAAATAAGAGATAATTACAATATTACCCTTGGCAGCACACTCTAATAAAAGAAAAAATAAAAACAAATGAGCATGCTGACAGCATAATGACAGTAACAGTAAACTGACAACAAAGTAATAAACTGATCTTGTGGTATTGTTTCAGGCATTAGGACAAGATCATTAATTTTGCCTGCTCTTTCACTTCTTACAAATGCTAAAATACAGAGAAGCAAAACAACAAAGATACAATTGAGGTAGAGGTACATTTGCACATCCTTTCAGTAGAATGTTTATTTCCCCGTTTCATTACCAAACAGCTTTAAAATAACAATTAAATGATGTATATACAAAACAAGCCCCTGCATCACAAAACCAACAAATGTCTTTTCTAAAGAGCATACCTTAAGTCTTTCAAACACTATCAAACATTTTTCCTCATTGCCAATATTTGTATAACCATCCATCATGGTATGATATATATCAATGGGAGCATCAATCCCTTCTTCTTCCATCTCTTTTACCAGCTCTTCAGCTCGATCCATATTACAGGTTTGACTGCATTTTTATTTCCAAAAGAAAAATTAGCATCAGAAAGGACCTAAGAGGAATCTTATATCTCCACCCAAGATATGCATGTTACAATATATTTTGAGAAGCCACTAAGAAAAGCACATAATGAAAAAAGAATCAAAAGCAAAATAAAATTAAGCCTCTAAACCTGGAACCAGTCAACCCAAGAATCAGACCCATCAGCAAGCTGATTTAAACCTAGATTCAGACATGCTCAACCCAAGCAGACATAGCAACCCAGTTAGTAACTGGACTAAACAAGATCTGGCCCCACCAATGTATTTTATTCAGTGTATTGCTACTTCTCCTTTCAAAAGTTCATTTTCCTACTAATTAGGAAGAAAACAAGGACAAAAGACCCTAGCTTACCAAAAATAAAGTTGTCCAAGAAGAAGTTAGTAATTGGTCCTAGGGCTGTAGTCAGGTCGGATCCAGCCACATCTGAATCCCATCCAATTATTGAACATTGAAACCCAAGATCCAAAATTCAATCAGATCTAGAGATCTAAAATCTGATTCAGATTTAACCCAGGTCCATTTTGTATTTCCCTAAAATAAAGAAAAATAAAAAATAAAAAAGCTAATTATCTACATATGATAAACATATCAATATGATATATTGAATTTATTTTACAAATAATAATATTTGTAAAATCCCTGGATCCCACAAGAAATCCCTCACCAACTTTTCCAATTTTTTACTCACTCACTGGCATCTTAAAAAACAAACATCAAATACACAGGCAAATTGACCAATGTGGCTCTTATCAGTGTGATTCTTCCCCCTAAAGATAGATAGCTTTTCTTCCAAGATGTGAGTCTCTTGACAAATCTTTTTTTTTTTTTTGATAAATAGTCTCTTGACAAATTTTTCTACTACAGGACCCCAAAAGCTACTCTTTTTTGAATTATCTCCCAAAGGAAGCCTAAATACCTCAGTGGCCAATATGACACATCACTAACCCAAATGTTAGCATACTCCAGTATCTCCCCTTCTTCCATGTTAATACCTACAATACAACTTTTGTCAAAATTCACCTTAAGGTTGGAAATTAACTCAAAAAGTTATACAGTCAACTTGAGATTCCTAACCCAGTTTCTATTTCCTCCTTCGCAAAAAAGCAAAGCATCATCTACAAATTGCAAGTGTGCAACTAGAACACTGCCATGACCATTTTTCTAGCCCCTTAACAACTCTTGTAAATCTACCCTAATAATAAGCATTCCAAGGACCTCAACTATCAAAGTGAATAGAAAAGGAGAGAGGGGATCTCCTTGCCTAATCCCTCTCAAGGCCAAGAAGAAATCCACCATAATTCCATTCACCAATAAAGAATAATGACAGGTCTTAACACATCCTCTAATCCATTTACACCATCTCCCCCCAAATCCAAAGCTCCTCAAAACTTCCAATAAAAAGGACCAATCCACCATATCATAAGATTTCTCCAAATCCAATTTACAAACAAATCTTTTCATTCCAGCTCTTTTGAAATCCTCTACACATTCATTGACAATTAGGATTTGGTCAATGATTTGCCTTCCCCTTACAAAAGCACCCTGATTTGAGGAGATAATGAGAGGGAGAGCAACCCTAATCCTCAAAAATAGAACCTTAGCAATTATTTTATAGAGACTTCACGAAGACAAAGGGACAAAACTCACGAGATGTGTTGCATCACTTTTCTTAGGCACCAAAGCAATGAAAATCAAATTAAAGCCTAGATTAATTACTCCCCTTTCATAAAACTCTTCAAGCACTCCCAACATACCTTCTTTCAAAATGTCCAAGTAATCTTGGCAGAAAGCCATTGTGAAACCATCCAGTCCTAGTGCTTTGCATCTATCCATTGAGAAAATATCCTCCCTAATTTCCTCCTGCTCAAATCTCCTCTCCAACCAATTCTTCATTTCACCCAGGATCATCGACCAATCAAGTCCCTCAAGCCATGCTTTTTGCTTCAAAGGTCTTCTATAGATTGATCTAAAATGTTCTTTAAAGGCCCCAACTATCTTATTCTAATATGTCATAGAAATCCTATCAACCACAAATCTTGAGATATTATTCCTCCTCTTCCTACCACAAGCCATTGCATGGAAGAATTTTGTGTTCCTATCACCCTCCTTAATCCACTTGTGCCTTGACTTCCATCTCCAACTTATTTCCTCCTTATGAAGAATACCTTCCAATCGCTTACTCAGGGACCACCTTGATTCTTTGTTACCTTCCTCAAAACCTCTCCTCCTTTTTATCTAATTCATCTATTTTGTTAACCAAAGATTACTTTCTCTCTTCAATCCTCCCAAATTCCAAATTGTTCCAGTACTTGATTTTGATTTTAATTAATGCAATTTCTTGTGAAATTTCATCCCTTTCCATTCAACTCTTGGGTTGCTCTCCCCCCACCACTCTCTAGTCTTTTGTATAAATCTCGGATGACACAACCACATGTTCTCAAAATGAAAAGGAGTCGGTCCTTTACCAACAAAATCCTCCTTGCAGATGGATATAGGTCAATCATCCGAGGTAAGCCTAGGAAGAGTTCTAGACATTAAACCACACCAATGCTCCTCCCAATCCACTAAGAAAGGAAACCTATCTAGTTTGGAGCAAATTGAGCTATCTTGGGGATTGGACCAGGTGTAGCTACTAAGAATAAGAGGCAACTCTTTAAGTTCAAACACATTGACAAACTGATTGCATCTTCTCCTACTTGTGGTGATACCCTTTCTCCTATTATCTGTTTATTCAATGAATCTGATCACATTAAAGTCTCCACCAATGCACTAAGGTCCCTCTCACATTCCTCTTATATCTCCCAATTCCTTCCACATTTCATTCCTCTCCCTATATCCATTCGGACCATACAGATTTCCCATTCAAAACCATCCTCCACTCGCCAAAATTTTATAGATACCATGAATTTGCCCACAAGTTCTTTAATTCCAGTCCTCTCCACAAAGTAACCATACCCCCAAAAGACCCCAAGATGGAGACATGCCCAACTCACTCCCCTAGCCCTCCATACACTTCTTGCCCACCTATTATCAAACTCTACCAATTTGGTTTCCAGAAGGACAATTACATCTGGGTTCTCTTTCCTAACCACTTCCTTAATAATTGCTCTCTTTCCGGAACTACCTAGACCATGGGCATTCCAGCTTAAGATCTTCCTGCTTAATATCTCTCTACTCCCCTCCTATTAATCCTCTTCCTACTTTCTCTCCTTTGTCCTTTCCCTTCCTAAACTAAACTCCTTGTCTCCTTCAATGTCCATCTTCAATCTTTCAACTTCGCTCAATTTTCTTTTTCTCACCTTTCCTTCACCCTTATTCTTCCTTAAATAATTTTGCACATTGATTGGCTCCTTGACACTACACCCAAGTTTTCCAGAAAAATCCACCAAATCCTCATTCTTGACATTTTTCTTCTCCATTGTACCTGCTTTATCTACTTCTCTTTCACTCCCACTCCCCTCTACCCTCCCAACTTCAGTGCCACACTCCTTAATTCTATTAATGTCATCTTTTCCCTCAAATTCTTTTCTCTTTAACTCCTCAAATAGAGCCTCTATCATTTCCCAAATTCTTCTACCTTCCTCCACATCCAGCAACTTAATTGTCCCATCTCCTTCCTTATCCTCAATCTCTCCATTCACCCTTTGATCAACAATCTCACAATCTTGCAACACTAACGGCTGTAGAGAACCTAGAGGACAGCTGACATGCACAAAGCTAATAGTTAGTATCCAAAACCAAAATGACCATTGTACCTGAACAAGAATGCTGAGAAGGCTGAAGCAAAGGTTCATCAGTAGATTTCTGTTGGGAACATCCCCCTATCTATGTTAGTACTCGCTATTCACCCTTAGGAATTTGTTGCTTATCCCCACTTAATGTCTCTCTGCTAGGCCTTTGAAGATCCTCAACACTTACGGACACCCTATCAGTAACTGTTGTTTTGGTCTGGATTTTCTTTGTTCAGGCATCAAAGGTTTTCCCTAACGACCATGTGTGAAATTTCTTTCTAGCAACTCCTGTGAGTCCCTGTCCAATGTAGGCCAGTCTAGTTTGATCACCTCCAAGCATAATGAGATGTTGGATCTGCTGAATCTATTACAGGGCCAAAATATTGACATGCTTAGTGAAGATAAGTGGGTATGAAAATGGAGTAAGGATGGTAATTTTTCAGTCAAGTCCTTATCATTTAAACTTGGCAGTTTTGGGCTGGTTATCTTTCCCTGTAAACAGATCTGGAATGCAGTTTCTCCATCTAAGTCAAATTTTCTGGTGTGGACTATGGTGCTTAGTAAGTGCCTATCAAAAATCAGCCTGGAAAGGAGGAGTCTGCAGCTCTCAAACCTTGCTTGTGGGCTTTGTGGACTGATGCCTGAAAGTACAGATCATCTAAGTATACACTGTTCAATTTCTTCTAGAGTGTGGGAGCATTTTTTAAGTCTGCTGGAGTTTGTTGGGTCATGCTGAGATCAGTCAAAGACCTCCTATTTAGCTGGAATCAGGCAGGGTTGAGGAAAAAAGGAAGAATAGTCTGGAAAACAATTCCTGAAGCAGTACTGTGGTCCTTGTGGTCAGAAAGAAACAATAGAGTTTTCTCTAACAAGTCAAAAAGCCCAGATGAGCTAGTTAAGCAGTCAGTCAGCAAGCTGATCTCCTGGGTGTCGGTTACTGCTGATTTTAAGCACCTGAATGTAGCTGAGTTGTTTAACTCTCAGTCCATTTGGAGTCTGTAACTGTAGTTGATTCTGGGCTTCTTCTGTCCAGGAATCTGTTGTACTTTGTTGTTTTCTTTGAAATAAAATCTTACCTTACCTTTTCAAAGAAAAAAAAGTATCCAGCCTCTTATGTTATAAATTGATTTAAATGCTCCACCAACATAGCTGCAATCTCTTCTTGGTTTGTGACCTCCATCTTTCATGAGTTTAGATATAAAGTTCTTTTTTCTTCTTCCATTTGCCACAGCATGA